ACAATTAGGAATTTGTCTCAATACACAAAAGAATGTTCTCATTAATTTCTGTGTGTTTTATCTCCTAACCTGTCAACCTATCCATAATGTACATATGAAGATTTATTTGATCTGGTAAAAGTTAAATAGTCCAAAACACATCAACAGATATGAAGCAAATTATCACTATGTCTGAAACTAATTACAATGTAACAAAGTAAACAAATAAATATTAAGCTTTTTTTTTTTTTTTTTTTTGTAAATTTTGATACCCTTTAGATCATAATTGCTCTTTATTTCATAAATTACGGTTTCATATTTTTACTTTTATGATTTCTGCATGCCATCTTACCAGATTTAAACTGATGATCTATAATCCGGAATCGCCGAAGTCCCAACGAGTCCGGATTAAAGGCTTTTGACTGTGTAATGGTTTCATTGTTCTTCCAGAGCTTGGCGCAATTTACGCTCTGGAGAAAAAAATGCTGTATATTTTGAACATTCTGAGACAATTACATGGAAAAAACCGTTACCATGAAAATATTAAAAATACATTTTTAATTAATTACATAGCTAGTTTGCTTTTGCTAAGAACTGTTTCATAAATGGTGCTTTATTGCATTGTACCTTGCTTATTTTCCACATATAATAAATGGCTGAAATGGAACTTTATAATATCACAGCAAAAAATAAAAATGTTTTATTTTAATCTTATCTCATAAATATAATTCAAAAATGTAATAATATTTTAATGAAATTTATCAGTGTTACAATGTTCTAAAAAAAAAAAAAAAACTCTCGAAAATACCCTAGATCTCGGAATTAAAAATTTTCTATAGAAACAGATCTTAAAATTGCCAAAATTGACCATTGAAGAGCGTTTAATAAAAGAATTCACATCCCCAAAAGCGAAAAGTTGTTTAAGAGCTCTTCATTATAAAAAATGAAATAATTTTGAAATGCTCAAGTTTCAGTTCCTGCTCAGAAACTCGAGTATCCCACCATTTAATATTAGAAATAGGAACAAATTATAATCCATGAACCCATTTAAAAGATAACCATATTTATCAGGAAATCGCCAAAACTATTACTCTAAAATGTTAATTCACACTCAAAATGGCAATCGTAAAAACAGACAGAAATTTCTGATGATTAAAATAAGGACCTTCTGACGATTTTGGCCGAAATTAAGGACTTTTAAGGACCAAAAATCGATTCCAAAATACTTAAGGACTCTTAAGGACCGTACGAACCCTGATTAATGAACGGCAGTAACTCATTTTTATATGCAGAGATAATTTTTAAAGGTAAGCAGTTAATTATGAATAATTAAATTAGGTAGTTAGATAACCTTAGTCAACATGGATTTGCATGGCTACTATTAAATTTTATTTATCTTTTAACAATATTTGTTATAAAAGCCCTATTAAAATCACAATCTAATAAAATTTCACAGTTTAAAATACAGGTTATTTATGACATTGATTCTTAACCCTCTGAGCGTTATAACTGGCTTTATCCAGTCATCAGAAGTTTTGCTACTTGGCATATATTAGCTTATAATTTAAGATATTTTGCTTTCTTACTTCTTTAATAATGTAAATATCATCTTAATGAAAGTAAGTTTATGAAAATACAGACTAAATAAAGTAATTATACAAACTCAATTAATAAATGCTGTTTAAACACCGGTTTTCATGAAGGATCTAAAATCGCGTGCCGCTCAGAGTGTTAAACGATGTTAGGATAATTACACATTAAAAACTATAAAACATTTACGTTTTGTAGTAACAACACTCAATAAAATAGTTATGTGTCTTTTTAATTTGAAGCCTTCCCAGACATTTTGGCTAATTTATATAAATTTCCTTCTGTTTAAGCATCTAATAATTAGAAATTTATCTCAATATGCAAACCAGTGTTCTCACTAGTTTCTGCATGCTTTATCTCCTAACTTGCCAACCTTTTTACAATGTACCTACGAGGCTTTTCTTGATCTTCTAAAAGTTAAATAGTCCAAAAGCCCCACCAGATGTGAAGCAAATTATCACTATGTCTGAAAGTAACTACAATAACAGACAAAGGTTTAAATAAGCCTCTTATTTAAAAAGGACTTAGAACATAAAGGCATGTTTTTTTGGTAACAAAATCAATTACAGCTCGTGGTGATGTAATTAAACAAGAGTCAAATTCAAACTAAAAGTGTGGACTTGTGGTCAAAGAATAAACAATTTAATTTAAACTGGCTCAGTAACTCTATCGTCATAACAAATTCAAATGTCAGCAGCGATAATTCAAAGATGAATAAATACAAATTATCAGAGATGACATGAACAATCAAGCAAGTGGAGGTCACAAACACACTCTGTCTTGTACTTCAAAAATTTCAGTTGGAAAAACTGTCTGATTTGCATTCTGGTGAGAAAATAGAAATGGGAAATTATATTAAAGTCTGAAATAAACGACTGGGTAATTTACATAATAGCTGTACCTATCTTCTAAGAATAACTTTCTTTCTCTTTATGCATTCAGTTCCTTTCTTCAATATGTTTCCTTTTCATTTTAGAAGTTTTGGATTTAATTAGATTTCTGTTATTCTAAAGAAACTAAATGCAATTAGGACACATAGAAAAAGCTGCTAATTTTATTTATTTAGTAATATGAACATTAAGAAAAAATATGAAGTATATGTGGTAAGAACCAGTTACACAGATGGTGTGGCAGAATTTTTAGAATTTAGAGACACACCGAGCAACAAAATCTAGAAATGGCAAAACTTTTAGAATTTAAAGCAGGCATTGAAAGCAGAATTCGGGATCCACAGTGAGTGTATCAGGTGGGAAAAATGCCTAGCACCAGCCCTGTGTATGATGCATTAAGACATACTGGATGAATCTTTAAAATTGTCAGTTTTCGTTTTAATAAAAAAATTCCTTTCTATAATGCCTGTCCATGTGATATGATGATTAAAAGCATTTTCCATGTTTTGGTTTAGTGAAAAGTAGAGAAAATAAAAGGAAGACAAATGTGCTAAGAAAAAGATTCTAGTATCAGTAGTAAAACATTCAAATATGTTTTCATTGTTCTTCGAGACATTCTCCAAAAAGTAAGAAATTCATCACAAACTTTCTGTAAAGTAAATCCATTACATGTTAATACCAAGGAGACATTTTAAATTTTGTTACATTTTTCTGGAATCCTCTAGAATTGTGGATCTGTAAATCTTGCTTTCAAATCCTTCTAAACTTTCCAAGCTGTAATGTCTAAAATCCTACTAAATCTAAAAGAAAAATTACCCTAACCAATTCTGTATCAGCAAAAAGACGGAAATATATTGACCTCCCCCCACACAAAAAAGGTAAAATTAATTTTATGGAGAAAACTGATGCATATTCTGAGATGGGAAAAACTCTTACCATGAAAAAAGTGAAAAGACATTTCTAATTAATTACATAGCTATTTTGCTTTAGCTAAGAATTGTTTCATAAATTGTGTTTCATAGCATTATACCTTGTTTATTTTTCAGATGCAAAATATCATAGACTAAGTGGCTGAAATGAAACATTATAATATGATAGCAAAAATTAAATATGTTTTATTTTAATATTATTTTTTAAATATAATTTCAATATATTAACATTATTTTAATGAAATTTATCAATCTAACAATGTTTAAAAAAATCTGATGTGTACACCACACGACTTCCTTGTACGGAATATTAAATTATACGCAGTTTTCTTGCATTTCATTTAAACTTATTGGATTGAACTAAATCTACTTCGCCGACAGCGTATAAACCACAATAGAATAAATGCATTCTTTAAAATTCACTCTATTTGTTTACCATAGAGACACTCTGGCGCTAGGTTCACTTAACAGTATTATATTTTGTTCATATCATAACTCAGATTGCACAAAATTTATACCATTTAAAGAATTATCTAATCGTTGCCACATGTTCTATTCAAATACTATAATAAAGCTAGAACGATGTATACAAGAAATTAAGCAAACAAAACAAAAAAGAAACAGTTTTTCACAGACGACTGAGTATTTCTCATTCAATTAATTCAGTTCTCACTTCGGGACAAGGCAAAAATACATAAAAACTCAAAATATCTGAATTAAAAATTATGAAGTAAACCTTAAACACTTATTTCCTCGAAAAAATTCCAGAAAGGATTCAGCATGATTTAATTCGCAATAATAAATGAAGGCGTTATCTTTGTTGTTGCGAAGCTAAGTTTCTCTAGATTGGCAACAAATCCACTATTCTGCTGTTTCAAATGTAAACAAGCAATGGCCGCCACCAAAAAATTATTAGGCTTAGCGGCACTTGAACAACTTTAAAATTGTTGACAATTCTAAAAATATTGCATATAGATTTACTAAAGGCATAAAAACCTTAACCGTAAGATAAGAACAACATAATTCAATCATTTTTAAAGCAAAAAATATACAATTTACAAACATATAAGAGTAAAGAAACTGAGATCACTGAGCCAGGTAACCAAGTGGATATATATATATATAAATATATTTATACATATTTGGTACGGCCGATTGCAACCAAAATACGAGGTGCACATCTACATGTTATAGCAGTCCTATACACAAAATTTCAACGTTCTGAGGCTACTCGTTTTTGAGTTATGCAAGATACGTACGTACATACGTTCGTACAGACGCCATGAAAAATTCTCTTCAGAATTCATTTTAAAAATAGTGAATTTGGAGAAAATAGTGTTTTATTCTGTCCTTACTTACAGATATCATGGAAATACATCGTTAAATTGCATTCGAAAGAGGTCAAAATGGATATTTTCGTTGAAATATGCTGCCTGAAACTTTTCGCGATTAGAATACTTCCTTTTTACTTCGTACAAGGAAGTAAAAAGGTTGATGTATAATTAGATCCACACCTATTTTACATATTATTAATAAATACCAAATGCTTCTAAATAAAAATTACAGATGAAAACACATGGTATAATTTAAGTAAATAATTTATAATATATACCATCAGGCAAATCTTGTTTATTAGCAAATACTAAAATAATGGCATCTCTCATTTCTCTATCATTGATTATCCTGTGTAGTTCTTGTCTGGCTTCATCTATTCTGTCTCTGTCAGCACAGTCAACAACAAATATTAAACCTTGTGTACCAGTATAATAATGCCTCCATAGTGGGCGGATTTTATCTTGTCCTCCAACATCCTATTCAAAAACAAACTACTGTGAATAATAAAAATTATTGTAACTCAAATTACAACTAACAAAAAGACCAATACATATCCATAATCTTACTGGGGAATTAGTATATATATATATATAACAGTAGTAGGTAGAAACATTGCAGCGATCATAGGTCTTACGTCTAATTACTAGTTAGCTTTACAATTTCTTTTTCAATTATATATATATATATACTTTTATAATACATGAAACATTTTGACTTTTAGATGGATCAGATTATGAGAAAATTCTACTACTACAGAAGAGTAGTAATAATTCAATCTAAATGGGACATGGTACAGTTGGATGATCGGCAAAGTCAGATGATGCAGAATGTTACAAATACATCTCAAACTGATAAAATACATTCATTTTACATCCTAGTAACTTGAACAAACTATAAATTAATGCAGTATGTACCACAAAGAACAATCAAATCTGCTGATGAAAGTTGATAATTAGTTTTTGTTTGCGATTTTCACCCATCTACATCTTGCAGTCTCCGCAGAAGTAAAAATTTCATTGATGAAATTTCTCCAGCTGCTCTATGCATTTCAAATGCTATCCCCAGAGCTTTGTATCCTTTGGTGTGAGGTATTCTGCCTCGTTTTCTGCCATCACAACTTCGTCTTCAGTAACTTCTGTATGTTTCTTGTTCAGCCCCATATTAATGATTTCTTTATCTATCATTGTATATTCCTCAAGAAAACCATTTATTTAAGCTCTCCATTGTTGCTTCAGCTTTCAGACAAAAGCAGGTTCTTTTTCCCCTTTTTGAAGTCATCACCACAGAACAGGATACATAAATAAAAGGTAAAAATACATGCTGTGAACTGTATACTGTCACAGAAACAAAGTCAACTCATTAGCAAATACAATTTGGTGCTGAGGTTGATGAACTGAGCATGAGCAGACCGCTGTGTTGTGACTCTAAGCCAGTAATGAAGCACAAATGCTTCTTACTCGTATGATCAACAATTTGTGATTTTTAAGAACTTTTGCTTTTCTGCTAACCAGGTCGGATATAATGGAAGGTCAAGATAATATAGTTCTAAATTTAGTTACATTTTCAAATACTTCTAAATTCATTTAAATTTCATCTTTTCAGGCATCTCGCAGAAAATTCAGCTTTTAATTTCCTCAAACAAACATAATGATCATTGATGAACAAGTTAAAATTTTTTTGCCACATAGATAAAAACTGGTAATTTTAAATAAACTGACCCTCACTAAATATGTCATTTTCTCTAGTTAGAAATCAGTGCCAATCACCATATCCCGTTAGGGTCCCATCTGCCTTGATCTCTCTTTGAATAACTGCATATAAGAACTGAATTTTCATAAAAACTCTGCATCCTAGCTTGTGATAATTAATTATAGGAGACAATGAATTAATTAAAAGCTTGCTTTCAGCTTTATTATTTTTTAGAATTGTAAATGCCACTACACCAAAGGTCTTCAATGTAGCTAGTTCATCACTACTAAATTTCGTGTGAAAGTTTTCACTTCAAGTTCATAACATACATATATAATATACGTATATAGTACTACAAAACATTTAAAAACAATAATATCCCAATATTATTTCCGCACAATATGCTGCTGAAAAATTATAAATATATATAAGCCATTTTAAGTCTAATCGCTTAGTCTTAGGGAAAAAAATACACTAAGTTTACTCATTCAGTTTAATGACCCGTTAGGAAGATGGTAATTACAATATACTCATTAATGTTACAAAAGAAAACATTGCCAGGATTACTACACTGTTTAAATAAAAGCTAATAAGGAAGGGAAAACGCTTTTTGATACATGCTCACTAAAGTAGCCACACATTACCCTTTGACAACACTTGCACATTACAAAGGTGTTTCGACAGCTACGTGTGATGGCCACTTAACAAAGAAGTACTCTATTTACACACATAAAAAGTCAAATTTTTAATAATGTTAAAAATAAGAAAACGAAACTTACCCACACATTGAATTTGACATTTTTGTAAGTAACAGTCTCTACATTAAAACCTACTGTTGGTATAGTTGTAACTGATTGTCCTAATTTCAACTTGTACAAGATAGCTAATTTCATTAAGGAATTTTTTAAAAAAGTTTTAAATATCTATAGATAACATAGATTAAAATAAGTACTTTCCCAATCAATATTAATCTGTTTCATTTACGAAAAAAATACCAACAGTGATTTGCCTGGGTAAAACACAAATTAAAGCAATTAATATTTAATATACACTGGTTTTCAAAAATTGAGCAACAAACTGAAAATTCAGAAAGCAGTTCTTTCCCACCCACCAATTTTTTAAAAGTAGTTTTTATTTTAATTCAAAGCTGTAGCAGGTATATTCTATCTGTATTCCTATCTGAAAAAATGTTCTTGAATGAATCTACTCAGGAGTGCAGAAATTATTTAGTGCATAGTATCCAAGTTAATTCAGTACATAAACAATAAAACAATTTTGAGATAGCCAAACTGTAAATATGAATTTGAGACAACTTTTGACAACAGAATTGCATTATACAGTCAAGTCGTTAATTTGGACACCCATAATCCAGACCTCAAAGCTACAAACTTTCTGCGCATGGGTCAACGCAAAATGCTTTGACGCATGCGCGTAAGACCTTTACGGCTGCGCATAATACGTTTATGCATGTGCGTTTAATGTATAACGGACGGTATAAGCTAAAATTATCTAATTATCTATTTCAGTTAATATTGCAGATTGCGTTGTTCCTTAATCTTCGAATTGGATCCGGCTTATTATTTTTTGAAGACTGTTAGAGCAATTTTATAAAAGTAAGCTTGAACTTTCCATTATGTCAAATAGAATTTCCAATATATATTTACTAATATGTAAAGGATCTACAAAGCGAAAGTATGTTTCGAAGTCCATTAAAAAAAAATGGAATTGCTGCAAAAAATGGATAAAGGCATACCCTTTGTTTCTCTAACTATTCCGAAATCTGTTTATCAATTTTACGCTGCTCTGTGTGTGTGCGTGCGGGGGGGGGGGGGGGGGGGGGGGCGTCGCGGCACGCAATTATTGGAAGTTGATCTGTCAGCACTATCCTTATCTTCAGGGCAGATGTTTTTATTTTATTTGGCTTATAATTCCTTACTAAATGTAGTATTTCATCTCGATGTACTCCGTCTTTGATATGATTTAAATCAAATTCCTTGTCATTATAATTCGCTTCCGATAGTGAAGAAAGTGACACAGAGGTTATTGAAAACGAAAAAATTTTGATTGACAAATTAGTCGGTATTCTCGACACAGCAATTATAGGACTTGAACAGCGGAACTTTGTAACTGAACAAGAAATTATGTCTGTTTATAGAATTAAAGAGAAAGTATTATCACATGAAACGAAGCAACTTACATTGAAAGAAATGTTTAATAAAGTAAACAAATAAATATTAAGTTTTTTTTTTTTTTTTTTGTAAATTCTGATACCTTTTATTTAGATCATAATTGTTCTTTATTTCATAAATTACAGTTTCATATTTTTAATTTTATAATTTCTGCATGCCATCTTACCAGATTTAAACTGATGATCTATAATCCGGAAAAATCGATAACCCGGAATCTCCGAAGTCCCGACGAATCCGGATTAACGACTTTTGACTGTACAGTGGTGGTAAAAATTGCGGACACTTTTGGAAATTTTGATGTGTTTGAACTTTGTATGCTTATAGAAAACGTTACGTTTCACAAAATGCAAACTTGTATATATCATTTTAAAGAGAATTTATTACTGAATTCAATACAAAACACAAAAATCAATTATTTGCAATACAAAAAAAGTGAAACGATAATAGTTATTGATATACATTAGATAGTGATGATTGCAGTGAGTTATCAGTACTTAGTAGGGTACGCTTTATTTTTGATTACAGCTTCACATCAAAGTTTCATTGAGCTGAGAAGAGTTTTAAGCTCTTCTTTCATTATTACATGATGCCAGGACACAATTATAGCCTCAATTAGTTCCCTTTTATTTGATGGGCGCCTCATTCGGACAAGAGTTTTCAAACGGTGCCACAAATGTTCGATAGGATTGAGGTCAGGACTGTTTCCTGGCCATGACAACAATTTAATGCTCTTTGTACGAAACCACTCTTTCGATATTTTGGCCGTGTGGCAAGGAGTAGAATCTTGCTGAAAAATAAACGAAGCATTGTTGGGAAAGAGATCTCTGAGGGAGGGTAGAAGTTTTGGTTCTAGAATAATGTCAATGTATTTTCTGGCATTCAGTGTCCCATCGATGACATGAAGGCGACAAATACCACCTGCTGACATGCATGACCAAATCATAACACTACATAGGTTCTTCACAGTTGCTTGAATGCAGTCAGGATGTAGTTGTTCTCCTATTCTACATCTTGCATATTTTCGCCCATCACTACCGAATAACGATATCTTAGTTTCATCACTCCATATAACTTGAGACCACTGATCATCTGTCCAATTAATGTGTTCCTTTGCCCACTGTAGTCTTTTTTTTTTTTTTTTTTTTTTTTTTTTTTTTGTTGCTGAAAATTAAGATAAGACTTTTTTTGTGGAATTCTACCTCTCAGTCCAACATCTGTTAATCTTCTGATTGTTTTTGAACTGACAGAAACACCAGCATCATTCAAATCACTTCTGATGGCCGCTGATGACATTTTTCTATCTTGGAGACATAGTCTTTTTATTCTTCTCTCATCAACAGATGTGGTGCACCTTTTTCGGCCTTTTCCTTCTTTGTTTTTTAATTGAATTTGTCTTCTGATATCGTAAACAAAACTTTCGGACTCCAGATGTAGTCACTGAACCACCCACCTGTTTTGCAATTTCAGCATAGGAAAGGCCACTTTCTCGTAACACAATAATATTACATCTCTTTCTAGGTGTCCAATCTACTCCTTTATTTGATGCCATTGCTTCTTGACTAAATATTTAAAATCTTTACAAAATTTCCTACTTGTAATTGCAGTGTATAAGAAACAGGTCCTACTTCTACAGAACAAAGCAAAATAATGAATTGTTTCAAGTGTAAACATGATGTCAGCTTCTGCTGGCAGTTACTAACATTTGATTGGTTCTCAGAACAAGAACAGTGATTGACCAGGAAAGCTAGACATTACAAATCACTTCATAACTGTGTTTTTTATTTATATTAAAGTACATATAACTTTTTTTATTGCAAATAGTTGAATTTTGTGTTTTGTATTGAATTCAGTAATACATTCTCTTTAAAATGATATATACAAGTTTGCATTTTACAAAATGTAACATTTTCTATAAGCATACAAAGTTCAAAAACATAAAAATTTCCAGAAGTGTCCACAATTTTGGCCATCACTGTATAGCCATAGGCTGATTAGAAGGTCAGTGATTGTCTGATGCTGCAAGATGGCTAAATGTCAGCTATTCCATGGTAACGCAGTTGTGGAACCAATTTGTAACTACTGATTCAGCATCTTGAAGGCAGGCCAAGAGTGACCACTTCTGCAGATGAGCGGCATCACGACTTACAGTACACTGCAACAGGACTGCATCAGCCATGCAGACTAGGCAACTGGCATTCAGCACCCTGTTTACCTCCCACTACTGGAAGGAGCATTTGAATAGGGCACATAGTCATGTAAAGTGGATTGAAAATCAGTAAAAGTCTGTTCTGTTTGCCGATCAGTTTCACCTTGCTTTACAGTGATTCTCAACATGTTTACTTATAGATAGAAGCAAACATTTGATGTCCAATGTTTAACACATGGGAAAGGGATACCTATGCAGGAGATATTGTTCTTGTATGGGGAAGAGTGTCATTAGGTGGGCACACAGACCTCTATGCGCTGCCACATGGAACTTTCAATGCTCAGAAGTATAGAGATGACATATTGGATATTATCGTTCATTTGTATGCTGCCAAAATACACAAACCTTCAGTTTGCAAACAGATAATGCCTACTCTCACACTACTTGTGTCATGGTCCTATTTCTCAAAGAAAAAACTACAGTCCAAATAGAATGGGCAGCACCCTCTACCAACCTTAATCTCATGCAGCAGAGTGGGATGTACTTGGGCGGCGGCGGTGGGTTTCCTGGTGCAAAACCTTAGCAGTTATATACACCAGAACATGCGTCAGGTAATTTTAAACAAAAATGGACATATAAACAAACAGACAAGATAAAATAACAAGAATCGCATAAAGTGCAGTAATGAAAATGATACACAATGATAAAATGCTCAAAATAAACAACTACACAGGCCAACATTTAATTATCTCATACACAAAACTAGAATAAAGTCATCACACACAGGACATATTAAAACGATAAGGTCATCAAAATCAAAACAAATTAAAATAATAAATACCCGTTTTCTTTCAGGTATTGGAACAAATTCGGATTGACCTCTTTCCCAAGTGTTAAAATGTTTTAAATGAAGTTGTTTAAAAAATGACAAACTGACATAATACCGTTACAATGTGAGCACATAGGTTCACTCTCTGCTTTTAACAGATAGTCTTGTGAATATGCGAGTGACCAATTCTCAGGCAAGTTAACAAAATAGGATATATTAGAAGTCAAACAAACAAACAAACAAACAAACAAACAAAAAAAATCAGCGTTATATTTTCAAATTTCACGGGTCTAGTTTCAATGGTTTTACCGAACAATCAGCCTCAGCTGCAAAAGTGCAAATGAACTGTGCTTTTGCATTCCACGATTTATTCATTTGAACACACGGAGGACACACGGTAAACAAATGGGCAGTTTTCTTGCCATACGAAAACTAGAGACAAGGGCTGTTTCAGTTTCTTATTACGAGACCCAACCTCCAAAGAGAAAACCCCAAGGGAGAAGGGAAGGAAAAACATTCCATCCAAGAGAAAAGGAGACGGAAATGAGGATAAATCACTGGGGCTCCAGGATCACGACACCTATCTCACCAAGATGATCCCCTGAAGGGCTAGGGTACCTTCCTATCTGTACTCTTGGGGGGTGAGATGCTCTTGGGAGGCAAGCTGCTGGCTTCCAGCATCATAAACAACACAAGAAATTGTTGTCATGCCTATATTGCTGCTTGGGGTTATCACACTCACTACTGAGACATTTTTTTTTTTTTTTTAATTTAATTTATATATCTGAATTTTCAGACAGGAAATTTTATGTCCCTGCCGATATCATAAAATGTAAATATCCTGTATAATATTTTCTTACATTTTTAAATTACAAATATAATAACGACTAGTATCGCTAAGTTTCATCCCATTTGCTTACATACATTTTGAATAATCATAAATTTTCCATTTGTTGCTTGATGATGGAAAACAGTGTAGTTGCATGATGATGTTTTTTGACAGTAACAGTTAAAACTCACAATCAATTTACTTCAATTTTTCACATTTTGAAATAAATGCAATAAACATGTATACTGTAATGGATTTTATCACAAAATACACTTAAATAAAACTGTTAAAAATGTCTTCCTATTTTTGCAAAAGCCAATAAAACTATACGTTAATAATTCAAAGTATAATCACATAATCAGAGGCTAAAAAAGATAAGACTTTTTAGCCATTGCTTCTCTAATTGCACAGGACATTTCAAACTGATTTCACAACTATTTTTTGAATGGTTTATTAGAGACAAATTAGAATCAGATAACACCTTTCAATAAATGTAACTGCAATTTACATTTCAGTAATTCTCCTAAACAAAGTTAACTCCCATTAGTTTTTATACTTCTGATTCTATTAAAGACTATATTTACGAATAAAATTTTCAAAATTAGATGAATTTAACAATTTTTACTTGAAGATAATGTACTGACAGTTTCAAGAAAGCTGTATATAATTGGATTTCATTATTTATGGTGTTACTTCTACTGATATCAGCGAGGGGGGGAAGTCTTCAATTTAGTAAAAGTGTCATGAACAAACGATGCAAAAAAGAACTTGAAACAGCAAATTGTCTTGTAACAGATCAGAATAACAGTACATATGAAATATGCTGCAGAAGCATTATTATTAAAAACAAAAAAACCTCAAAATTTGAACATTGGAATACACAAAAGCTTCCTTTATAAACCTAAAAACTAAACCAGTCATGTCCTTTTCAACAACAAATATCTGGTATTATCTACTCAGTACTTCTTCCGCAAGAACCTATTTAAATGAATATTCTACAATAGATTCAGCTTCTTCAACATTTGAAACAAGAGAAAGAGCTGTATTTGAGACTTTAAAGCCAACCATAAATAGTTTCGTAAATGGAGATTTCATAAATTGGTGATGTTCCAATTGATCCTTTTTCCAAAAGTAATGACAATTTTCCTCCCAATTTAACCTCAATTGGAAGTATCTTTTGACCATCATTTGCAACCTAGACTTCATTTTCTACCTCTACTTAAACATAATTCTGTAAGAAGCAGCTACTGGATACATAGAAAAAAAAGAGGAAAGGGGGAGGGGAGTTTAACAAATTTGATCATGTTTAAAATATTGAAGTACTCTTAAAAACTATTATTTAAATATACAAATTAAAAATTCATAAAAGTTGGTTTATAAAACATTAAATAATAATTCAAATTGAAGCTTTTACTAAACTAATACCTTTAGACGGCCCAAGAGTGTATACCTTTGTTCATTTCTCCCACTATCCTTAAAGAAATGGTATCTTGTTTTACAGCTTCAAAATTATAACAGATTCTGTAAAATTGGGAGACAGTAACAAACTGCCATTTTATAGCATATTTTGGAAATGCATAAATGAGATTAAAAACTTTCTTTAAAATTATAGAAACTAAAAATATAAAAGGGGTGAATTAATACTTAGTGTCACCAAGCTGGTGGGCTTATACCCATCTAATCCATTCTGATAAATACATCATTCTGAACTATGAATGCTCATTTATGTTCTTTGTAATAAATGTCACAAAAAGAGAAGGCACGCTAAAAATTACAAAACAATTTACTGTGGACAAATATTAAATTATACTAAAAATATTAATAATGATTGTATCAAATGTACGTGTGTGTATATATATATATATGACAGAAAGAGAACTCAAGTTCAGGCAGACTTTATATATAACGATATAAGTAAAAACTGATGTCAAGATTTCATTAGGAAAAGGATACTTGTTTTCCCTGCAGCATCTAAGCCCAACATCAATATTCTCATCTCCTTATTACCAAATATCTTGGATAACAGTTTCCCCATTTCATTAGGATCACACACCAAGCTGCTACACCTACATTGAAAGATAGAAACGTGAGAAACCATGCAAGAAAAATTTTAGCAAAATAATATCATTTAAAATATTATATAATATAACTGTATACTTAAATTAACAGAAATATTCATTTTCGAATACAAATTTTATAGATAGAAACCCAGAAAAAAGATATATGCTTTCATACATAGTGATTCTCTGATCATGGGACAAACTTGGAGGGGCGGCTAAATGCACTAAAACATGTATTTTTTGTACAGGAACATAGGGTCTAAAGTGACGTGTTAAGGCACAAATGCAAAAAATGTGTTTATTTACAAAATTAACACAAAATGCTTCTTTAAGCACTATATTGTTTACTATTAAGTACTATATTCTTTAAACAACTGATTTCATAAGAATTATTTGCCTATGAAAAGAATTATCTTCTTTTCATTGTTGATAAAACACAGATGTTACCTTGAAATACTAAAAATTAGGTTTCTCACGTGAAAACAGGTACTTTATGGAAGGCTTTTTTGCTGCGTGGCAATGCCAATCCAAAATAACTAAAAACTGACTTGTATAATGCATGAATCAGGTTAGTAATTTATTTACAAAATGTTTCTGACAGAAAATATATTAAGATTTAATAGGATATTTTAAATTTTATGTTCTTTGACTAGTTACATTTTATAATTTTCTTACACTTTTACACTGAGAAAATCCTCAGAAGGGAAGGAAAGCTTTTATTTTTCAAACTACTTTTAAATATAATGAAAATAAAATTAATAACCAAAGTACACACACATGTGTGGATAAACTTATTAGGGACCATATACTGTTGTAAAACAAAATATAAACATTAACAGATTATATCAAAGGTTTCTTCATATGTCTACATTAAATTAAGTAAATTCAGGTAAGTCAATTTAATACATTGACTGTCATGGGGTCACCAGTGAGTGGCGAAGCCAAGATTGCTAGAAACACATAATTCGAGTAAATTTTTAATTTTTCAATATTATCAAAACGCTGTGGAGAAATTAATGCAATATAGAACATGGGAAAAATAACTTTATATATATATATAACACGTAGGTTTAAATATTACGTGCATATCTTGCGATGTCTTATACTGAAACTCCCTAATCAAATGAAAGTTGAACAAATGCAGTCTCCATAGCATGTCACAACTTTTTTACCCTTAGCCTAGCTTTTCAAAAAAACTTTTTTAATTTTTCACTTTACAAAATTATTGAGTGACCCTAGTCTTTCACAGCACTTTTTTTTAAGTTCATGACGTGGTAAGAGTTAATAAATTCATTAACTTGTCTGTTGTAATTCATATTTCAGAAAACTATTCAACGAATAATGAGAAATTCATACTGGCCAGATGGATTAGATTGGATTATTCAATTATGGCAAAGCACACAAGGGCTATCTGCCTAAAGGGAGGGATGCCTTCCTGAAGGACTTTCTAAGGGAAACTGGCTCGAATACTCGTTACACATGGGGAAAACCATGAAAACGCCCATGCAGCCAGCCCGTTCATGGAATTTGAGCCTCGGACCGAGCTACAGTGTTCAGCAACTTTACCGGTTGGCCGCTGGTGGGTTCACTGGCCAGATGGACTTGAATTCTAATGATTTAAGTTTCATTAATTTAACAACTTTATCACTGGGAAACATTTCCAAAAGTTGAAAAGCAGGTAAGTCAGCTGCAATGATAATACTCTGCTATACTCAATAACTTTCCGTATTTCCTTGTTGAAGCGGCCACTACAAGTACTTTGATAAAATTTAAAATTTGGCATAAACTAGAAAAACACCATGACAAGCTTAAAAAAATGAACAATTGCAATGTGTAGGGAAAAATAACATTCATCATTGTGGATTGCCTAAATTCAGCAACTGATGCTATTATAGAGTCAAAACATTGGTACTCGGGATTTTTATCCATATTTAACTGTTATTGCACCATCAGTCCAAGTATATATGAAATGCAAAGATCGATGACTTTTTTTACACTTCTGCTCAGTATGCAAAATTCCTTACATCTGAATAAATAAAAATCACTGCTGCTTTTCAGTTGATGGTAAGTTAAATACAATTAGAAGGGGGGGGAATAGCAAAGAACACAAAATAATAAAAGATACTATGAAGAAGCTATTGCTTGTGATCCTTCCACTTTATGGAAGGAAAGTTTTAAAAATAGTCATTATTTTAGAGGGATCAAAACTAAAAGAACAATATTAGGGTTAAAATGAGCATGGAAATCACATATGTTGAATGTTATATAAATCTCACACGCATGCATGCACATAATTCTAATAGTAGACAGCTACTTGGTACTATTTCGTTAAAGCAGCGTCAGTTAAAATGTGCCGCTTTTTTTTTTGGCCACCAACTGTTGCCGAGTATGAAATTATAAAATAACAACAGAGTTCAAAAGACTAAAAAGAAATTAGGGTGCTACTTTGGTAGACAGTTGCACGGATTTTGGCGAAAAATACGACTTATGGTAAACCCATTGCTGGATAAGTTATTTATGGTAACCGATACTTTGTTGTCATTTTATTATGCATAAATTCCGTGTTTTAAATATGATTTATAACTTTTAAATATTAAAAAAATTTAATTTTGCATTTTTATTTGAAATAAAAATTTTATTGTTTATGATATTTTATGTTGTGGATGATATAATCAATGACGTCACCTTACTTTAAAAGTAATTAGTTTTAATATCTATAAATTTAATCTAATGTTTTAAACATTATTTATGGGTGTTAAATATTAAAATACAATTTAATTTTGCATTTTTTTGAAAAATGATATTATTATATATGATTATTTAAATAAATTTAATTCTAGGCATGATGTAATCAGCTCTCTGATTGGTTATAGAACATTTGTGCACTAACGAGCTGTAATCAGCTCCCATATTGGTTACTGAAAATTTGTGCATTAAGGCGCCATTTTAAAATTTAATTCATATCTTCGAATTCCTTCAAAGATGAATGTTGTTCAACAGTTCAATATTATTAAACAATATAAAAAGAATCGTATGATCCAGGATAAAAGAAGACCTGGCCGACCATCAAAACTATCCAATGTAATAAAGCGAATTATCGTTCGAAATATTAAACAAAATCCAAAAATGAGTTTTCCTAAAGTTGCTGCTGATTTACAAGCATTATATGGAGTAATTGTTAATCCTGAGACTATTAGAAGAGTAATTCGATATCACGGTAGAGCAGCCAGGAAAAAATTCTTCGTAAGTGAAAAGAATAGAAAATTCAGACTGGCTTTCGCAAAATCCAACATAAATAAGAACTCTGATTACTGGAATGAAGTTATATTTGCTGATGAGAGTAAATTTAATATCTTTGGTTCTGACGGTAGAATCTTGGTGTAGAGAAAACCCAAGAAAGAATTTCGCAAACAGAACTTGGTGCCAACAGTAAAACATGGTGGAGGAGGAGTTATGGTATGGGGGTGTATGTTGTCCGCTGGAGTTGGTAATCTTGTTTTTATTGACAGTATAATTGATCAGTACAAGTATATTGACATTTTAAATCAAAATTTGAAATCTTCACCACGAAAATTGAACCTTCATAACGATTTTAAATTCTACCAGGACAATGATCCCAAGCACAGTGCTTTGAACGTTAGACTCTGGCTGCTGTATAACTGTCCTGAAATAATAAAAACACCACCACAATCTTCAGACTTAAATCCCATAGAGAATATTTGGCAAGAATTGGAATCAAGAATTCGCAAACACACTATTTCTTCAAAACAACAATTAAAATCGGTGCTTCAAGAAGAATGGAGTAAAATCACTCCAGAAATCGCAAAAAAATTAGTCGAATCCATCCCAAGTAGATTAAATCATGTTTTAAAAGTAAAAGGAAATCCAACAAAATATTAAAACCTTTCAAAAAGTAAAATTTTTGGATAAATATTTTATGGAAAAGTAAGTGTCCCATCACTTATGTGAGCCATTTTTTGCTCCGTTCTAAACAACTGTATTTTTATTAAATTAATATTTTAACATTTTGAGAAAATGTATGTTATGTAATAATTGTTACTAAATTTAAGTATGAAACACACCCACAAAAATTTTTTTCATGTTTTTCTAATTTATTTTACTACAGTTTCCTTTTGTAAAGCACAAGTGTCCCATCACTTTTGTGAGACACTGTCCATGGTTCCAGAAGAACACGTCAAATACAGTCAAAAGTCGTTAATCCGGACTCGTCGGAACTTCGGTGATTCCGGATTATCGATTTTTCCAGATTATAGATCATCAGTTTAAATCTCGTAAGATGGCATGCAGAAATTCTAAAATTAAAAATATGAAACCGTAATTTATGAAAAAAAGAACAATTATGATCTAATAGGTATCAAAATTTATAAAAAAAAAAAAAAAAAAAAAAAAAAAAAAAAAAAAAAAAAAAAAAAAAAAAATTTATTTGTTTACTTTATTAAACATTTCTTTCAATGTAAGTCGTTTAAGTTGCTTCGTTTTATGTGATAATACTTTCTCTTTATTCTATAAACAGACATAATTTCTTGTTCAATTATAGGAAGACTATAGGAAGTTCCGCTGTTCAAGTCCCGTAATTGCTGTGCCGAGAATACCGACTAACTTGTCAATCGAAATTTTTTCGTTTCACTAACCTCTCTGTCACCTTCTTCGTGTCTTTATCCATTTTTTGCAGCAATTCCACTTCTTGTTTGATGGATATCGAAACATACTTTCGTTTTGTAGATCCTTTGGGAGCTCCAGCATTGGAAATTCTATTTGACATAATCGGAAGTTCACTTTTATAAAATTGCTCTTACAGTCTGCAGAAAATAATAAGCCGGATCCAATTCGAAGATTAAGGAACAACGCAATCATCAACATTAATTGAAATAGATAATTAGATAATTTTAGCTTATGCCATCCGTTATACATAAAACGCGCACGCGAAAATGTATTCTGCGCTTGTGCACATGCGCAGTCGTAAAGGTCTTATGCGCACGCATAAA